AAGCAGACAACTCTCTGAAGTGGACACTTTTCTTGGTACTGAGGATGCCTGCTTAGCAGAGGCTAAATTGCATTGACATCCATCAAAGGTCTTCCATTTGGACCAGCATCTACATATTGACTGTCGGCCAATTCACAGCAATGCTCAATTGTTTCAGAACTTTTTCTCCACAGCATACTGTATTTTGGACTTTGGCCAATACACATCTTTTTTTTCTTTCAGGGCTTTTTAATATTAATTGATTTGATGTCACTGAAAGCACATTGGGAAAGTTCAATAAACTATTTATAGACGAATGCATCTTATTAATAGAGCTTGGTAAGTGTACAGAACCTTGGGCTTTTAATATTCACAAACTTCAAGTACAGGATAAAATGAAAGCTCTGTTTGATAACTCGATTAGCGTGGATTTTTCTGTAGAGCTAGACAGTGAATTTTGTTGCTCACTTGACTAATGTTCAAGTACTTATAACATTTCTGGACTCTTTAGTTGGCCGAAGAATTGAGACCAGTGAGAAAGGTCTTCAGGTCTTTTGTTAAGATAGCCTTGTCCAAAAAATGTAATTGATGAAGTGACCTACATGTAACAATTAGGATATTGGACTTTGAATCAAGTTGTTCAGGTTTTGTTTTAGTAGCACTGGACTCTTGAGCAAGACTCTTTACCCTCACAGAGTCTCTCAGGAATACAATTTACGGGCCCAGAAACCTGTCAGGGTAAGCTACATGTCATTTACGTGTAAGGAGGCTGTAGAGGGCAGAGTTGGGTGACTGGGGTTGACACAGTGTCCCATCCAGAAGTAACAATACCCTGAGTCATTTGATGCTACCTACAGCACCAGGGAAATGTATAGATGTGCATGCTCATTGACATAATGCTTGGTGTTGGTTTTTTTTTGTTTTGGAATATCATGGTCACATTAACAAATGGGTTCCATGTTGCGGTGCCTCTGTTCAGTGTAACCACTTGTGTTTTTTCAAAAATGCCGTTCTCTTATTGGCTATGCTATTCACTATCCATTCTGTTGTAGCTAGTGAGTAGCCTTTCAGTTTGCAGTTGTTAAAGGAGAAGGTCACTCCAAAAACCGTGTATTTTTTCCATCAGTAATAAAAAGTTCACATTGAGTTAAGTAACTCACCGTTGTTTTAGCTTCTGAAGTGGGTGCGATCCCAATGAAAAAGAAGTAAAAAATTGGACACCGGGAGCTGCCATTTTGAAAAGAAATTGAAGTCCAGACCGCATATCCGTGACATCATTCCGTCCGAGGGTGTGTTTGTTTATGGCTGCTCATGAACCTTATCGTTTCGAGCCAGAACGTGCTGGTGATTCCGCAGAAAAAAAGTGAAGTTGAATGGAGCGATCGGTTGGAAAATGCTCTGTGGTGCACTTGTGAGAGTTTTTTTTTTTCTATTTTATTAACAATATCTTTATTACCTTTACAATACGTACAAACAATACTTACAATACACTAGAATACAACAAAAGAAAAGAA